AAAAAACTTTTCCATTACTTCTGTCTTATCTCCTGCAGAGACTTTAGGTCATGACACAGGAAGGAGTTGACCAGCTGACCTCATTAGCACACATCCTGTATCATCTACCCTCCTACCTCCCACCCACTTCCAGATGCATGAATATTAAATGAAAAACAATAAATCAGAGATAACTGTTCTCACAGACATCGATTTTTATTTTTCTACCTTAACTTTCATGTTGCATAGATCATTCATTTGACATAGTGTGCTGAGTGAACAGATAACAGCCTATGTGGATGTAGCTGCAGTATTGAAAACAGGAGAATTGTGTTCTGGGATCGGTAAAGTTCACATAAACTATACAATCTGATTGTACAATCAGACTGCATTGTGTATGGCCATCTTTATACAAGTACATAGGAGGGAATGGACAGAGACACCCAGCTGTCAAGCCCCATTCACATCTCTGCATAGTGGGATCTCACATTCCTGCTTGCGTTTTTTTTGGGGTGTTTTGGAGCATTTTCGCTTGTCACACATAGAGCAGCTCATCCACTTGAATGGGCTGCCATATGCGCAATAATTGCCTCAAAGAAGCTCCAGTATGTTTTTGTACAATAAGAGTGGAGAGTGGTGCTTTTCTTACTGTGATTTTTGTTGCAGCGCATTTCTGAAATGCAAGGCAAAGCGTGCATTTTCTGTGCCGTGTGCCATGCGTTTGGAAACACACAGATGTAGCCTTGTTGTTCTGTGTAAACAAACCAATTTCACTTTCTGGTTCCATTTACATCTAGCATAGTGAGAGCGTTTTTTGGCTTGTTTTACCCGTGACACACTTAGGGCTCCTTCACACGGGTGTTCTGTTTTTTTCATCAGTTCAGTCACATTTTTTTTTTAAATTGGAGCTAAACGGATCAAGACTTCACTTTTTACCTCCTTTTTCATATCCGTATACATCTGTTTTTGATCCGTTTACATCCGGTTTTCATCCACTTACATCCGATTTTTATCCATTTACATCCATTTTTCATCCCTTTACATCCATATTTTTCATCAGTTTCTCGTCAGTTTTTACATCATATTTTTTTACATCCTTTACCAATGCAAAAACAGATGCAAAAAAGAACCATATGTCCGCTTACATCCGTTTACATCCGTTTTCCCTCTGTTCTGGGTTTTTTCACGGAAGAAAAATAGGGTTTTCTTCCATTCAAAAAAACTGATGTTAACGATAAGGACATTAACGGATGTAAACGGATGATCATCCATTTACATTCTCTAGTCCATAGAAATACATGGGTGTCTGTTTTTCATCCATAAACGGACAGATGAAAAACGGTCATATGGAACGCCCATGTGAAAAAGCCCATAGGGCGGCCCATTGATTTCAAAGAGCCGTGCTACATGTGGCTCATGGTACATTTGGTGTGATGTGGGTTGCATGTTTTTTACTATGCATTGTGCTATAACTGCCACTTGTTTTTTTTCACATGGAAAAATGTGTTTCCTTCTGTGTTGGCGTGCTGTTAACAACTAATGGCACCAAAAGTGCAACTAGTCAATTTTAGGTGTATAAAGGTGGCCATACACAATGCAATCTGATTGTACAATCACTGTACAATTTCCTTTAGATTTTCCAGAACTATGGCAGAGGAAACAATCTGGTTGTTTAGTAAAAAGCAACACATTTTACACACATTAACACTTGGTTAGGCACACACTTAACTCCCGAGATGTTAATCCTTTCCCAGCCAGTGACATTAGTACAGAGACAGTGTATAGTATTATCACTGATCACTGTATTAGTGATGTCAGTGTCAGCCAGTTAGTGTACCTCCCAGCCAGTGCCAGTTAGGGTCAGAGTGCCTTCTGCACTATCAGTTCCACTAAGTCGCTGATCACCGCCATTACTAGTAAAAAATTACTAGTAAAAAATAGATAAATAGATCAATAAATAAAATTGCAGTATCTATACCATAGTTTGAAGATGCTATAACTTTCACACAAACCAATTAATATACATTTATTAGGATTTTGTTTTACCAAAGGCATGTAGTAAAATGCATTTTGGCCTAAATTTATGAAGAAATTGTATTTATTTATTTTTGTATCGGTTATGTTTTATAGAAGAAAGTAAAAAAAATAGTTTTTTTTGAGAATTTTCAGTCTATTTTCATTTATATGATAAAAAAGAAAAGACACAGTGGTGATCAAATACCACTAAAATAAAGTTATATTTGTGTGTGAAAAAATATGTTTTATTTGGGTACAGAATTGCATGACTGCGCAATTACCAGTTAAAGCAGTGCAGTGATAAATAGCAAAAAATGGCAAGATCATGAAGGAGGGAAAACCTTCTGGTGGACACATGGCTGTACTACTGGACCAGTATGTGCATGAAAAGGTTGCTCACCCTGGGGAGTGTTATACCCGCTACCTATCCCTAACTCAATATACAGTGTATATATATATATATATATATATATATATATATATATATATACATACAGTGAAGGAAATAAGTATTTGATCCCCTGCTGATTTTGAATGTTTGCCCACGCACAAAGAAATGATCAGTCTAAAAATGTGTTAGACATGCATTTCTTTTGAATTTTTTGTTGCTATTCTGTCTCTCAGTGTTACAATACACCTACCATTTGACTTTTAGACTGATCATTTCTGTGTGAGTGGGCAAACATTCAAAATCAGCAAGGGGATCAAATACTTATTTCCTTCACTATATATATATATATTTATATATATATATATATATATATATATATATATATATATATACAGTATATACATTTTTTTATTTTTTTCTATTATTTCGTTCAGTTTAATCAGACAATGAAAATATATTTTCATTGTAAATCACTTCATTCATATCAGCATTTTTTCAAAACAAAACATGGCCTTTTGTTGTCACGCTTTCACAAAAATAAGAGCTTTGCGTTCCCTAAACACGAATGCAGCAAATGCTCCGAGTTTGCATAGGGCAATTAACTGTGAGACAGGATGTCATTTTGGTTATCCTGCTAATATACATTTGGTGTTCTGTGTTGTGGGAAATTTTAGCAGGTGTTTCTAGGTGATTTTGCATAAACAAAGCACTATTTTAATGCGGTAATTAATTCTGCATGCCATGTCCCTACTTTGCACACCACAAACCAGTGTCTCAACAGAGTATAAACTTCAAGATTCAAAGAAGGAATAAATTCGGTGTGCAATAAACACCCCCATCTATTGCATTTTCACAAAAATAAATACATTTGGACAATAACGCATTAAGCAAAATAACTCTTTTATCAAGCGATATCAGTGACGGCCATAAATGGATGGAATCTCAGTCTGTTCAGCAGGGACTGTGTGAGGTTCGATCCATCTATGGACAGGCTGCTGTACTCAAGTCGATCCAACCAGCTATAGCTGTCAGCCTCAGGGCCTAGCCAGTACACAATTGCATGGCCACTTATTTATTTATTTTTTCCTCACTGTTTTGTCACCTTTCACTTTTGTGTGTGTTGGATAGAGGGTGTGGGTCCTCGGGCCTGCCCTGATGTCTAGGGGAGGATGTGTGGCCATAAGGTTCCTTCTTCCCCTGTTCCTGGGGGGTCTCTATGTGAGAGCTCCCTGACCTAGTACTTGGTGGTTGGCTGCGGCTCGCCACAAGGAAAGGGGTCCGCCAGGCATTTTGGCTAGGTGGACCATGTTGGAAACCCTTTGTCCTTGTCAGGAGCCTTGCGCCCCAGGGGATCAGGGTAGAGGTCCTACCCCTTCGGGGGTGGACAAAAGCACACCCTTAAATGCACTTTTTTGTGTTTGTGCACTTACGGGTTTTAGTTTTTTCACATGACCCCTGCACTCTATACATTGTACACTCCTGACCCTTGTATACTTACATACTTTTGACACCTGTGTTCTGTACTAGTTTTAAATCCCTCCCACTGTTGCAACACCCAAATTTCTCTGCTTTGCACACTGTCTCTGGTGTCTCTGCATGGACACTGCAGCCCATTCATTTTAATGGGCTGCTGTGCCCATGTTTCACACAAAAAAAAGCAGCATCAGGGGCGGACTGACCATTCGAGCACTCGGGCACTGCCCGAGGGCCCGGGGTCAGTAGGGGGCCCCATGAAAGGCCCCTGGTACCTTTTATAGGTTTTTTTGGGTGTGCTTTGATTGTGGGCAAGGAAACAGGGGCCCATGATCCCCTATTGCCCGGGGCCCCATAAGTTGTCAGTCCGCCCCTGAGCAGCATGCATCTTTTCCAAAACGCATCCGCATGGAAACCGCAAGGTCTTTTTAACCATGTAGTTCCTGTGCGGTTCTCACAATCATGCTACTCAGAATGAATGGGACCCCCCACGTCTCATAACAGTAATGCGATGTGACTGCAGGTGCAGGAACATGTGTGATTCCTGCATCTGCAACCAGCCTGTAGCCCCAGGTCTAGTGTGAAACAGAAGTAATATTACATTTCATCCTATAACAGCTGCAGAATCAGATGGCATACAAAGGCGCACTCCTCTGACAGAGATCCAAACGACCACTACCATCTTTATTTAGACCCCGGCCCTTAAAGCAGAGCTCCAGTCTCTGGTGAAAAGAATAAAAGTCAGAAGCTACAAAAACTGTAGATGCTGACTTTTAAAAAACAGAGACTCACCTGTCCTAGGAGCCAGCGGTGTCCTCACCGCAGCCGGGTTCACCAGCCGTCCTGTGTCCCTGGCACCAGCATCTTAAGTTTGGGCACCCAGCTGTGACAGCTTCACAGCCGGGGGCACACTGCGCATGCGCTAGCGATGCTGCACATTGTGAATGATCCCACAGGGACCTGCGGGTGGGAGGAGAACTTCCTCTTCTGATCACCCAGGCGATCGCAGCGTAAGTGAGAGCGGTACCTGTCAAAATCAGATACCCCCACTCCCCAAAGGCACCAATCCTTAACAGGCAGAGGGGGTTGAGGCCTTACACCCTGGTTGTACTGGGTGCGACTTGGCATGCGATTTCCAAATCGTATGCCAAGTCGCACCTGTACTTAATTTCACCTACACTGTGTTCTGTTTGAAGGTATGGACGTCCAAAGACTAACTTCAGCACCCAATTGTCCACAATTACAGCGGCCAAATCGGTGCAGTTCTGACTTGGTCGGAGCCGCATCGATTTCTAAAGTAATACATGCACTACTTTTTGTGCGATTTGCATAGACATCTGTGTCAGATGTCTTAAAAATCGCACCTGAAATCGGCATATCTCCCGACTTTGAAATCGTGCGACTTCACTGTAAGTCGCACGATTTCAAAGCCGGGCTTGATGTGACCGGGGTGTTAAGGTGGAACTTCCCCTTTTAAAAGGGTGGATCTCCACTTTGAAGGATAAGTTCACCTTTTGTGACATGTTACATGTTACACACCCATATTCAGTGTGTTATGATCAGACCCCTGCTCCTCCCCTCTCATTGCTTTGACAGCTAGCAGGGAATCTTCTCCCCCCTTGCTAGCTGTCAAATGTTTTTAAAAAAACGTGTGGTCATGTGTGCTCCTCTGTGAATGAGAAACTACACGTTTTGACATCCTTAGTAGCTATCAGCTTGTAGTTCTCAATGAACTACCGTGCTGTGGAGTGCTGTGGTAGTTCATTCTTCCTGTTAGTATATCTGCTTACCTGTACATCTGTATGGGCAGCAGATACACTGACAGATCTGCAGGAGACCTGCATAGCACCAGCGATCAGCGGATCACTGGTGCAATACTTTAGAGGCTCCTGCAGACAAAAATAATAAATGCACATTTTTTTAACAGCAAAAAAATGTGCATTTATTTTTTTTTTTGTCAAAATGTGAACTTATCCTTTAAGGACCTGTTCAGACCAGAATGTGGTGCTGTAAAGGTGTGGTTTTTGCACGTTTCTGCACCGCACCTGAATGCGCTACCTTGCGACAATTGCACAGGTACCAATGAACTGTTAATGGCACCCCCAAATCAGGGATGGACTGACAACTCATGGGGCCCACGAGCAATAGAGGATCACGGGGCCCCTGTGTCCTCGCCCACACCCAAAAAAAGCCAATGAAAGGTACCAGAGGCATCTCATGGGGCCCCTACTGACCCCTGGGCCCTCGGGCAGTGCCCAAGTGCTTGAATGGTCAGTCCACCCCTGCCCCAAATACATCTACCAAAAACGCAGCACATTTGTGTCCAACAAACTGTGTAGTACTGCAGTACAATGCGGTTTGGAATGGTGTGATTTACGTTTTGCACATTCCAGTGTGTTCTGCAGTCCATTCAGATGAACAGGATGTCAAAAATGGAACAAGGGTGCAGCATAAGAACACGCATGTTCCAGTGTCAACTGACCATTAAGAAGCTTGCGAGCACACAGGTAGGTTTATTTTATTGCATGTCCCTATTGATATAAACAGTCTGCCTGCTTGCAGTTTTTATTTTTCAGTTTTTTTATGACCTAAGTTCCACTTTAATAACTGTCCCCAAGTCTGAGTGTGGTGGAGACATGCTGGCCAGTGGATGCACATATAGAGGCTGATTTACTAAAACTGAAGCCAGCAAAATCTAGTGCAGATGTTCTTGTCAAAGTTTAAAGTATAACTAAAGGCAACACTTTTTTTTTTTAGTTTTGGGTGGAGTGGAGATAGATTAGAACATCTGTCCATTTCTTACTGTAGTCTGTGCCCCCATTAGGGGGATTCACCCTCTCTATTAGCCCTGGTGCACATAAATGCGGCCGTGCGGGCCACATTTTGCGCGGGCACGAGAGCCCATTCATTTGAATGGACTCCTGTGCCCATGACATGCAGAGAAGAAGTCCCTGCACTTCTTCTGAAAACGCAGTCCGCATGGGAATCTCGGTTACCAGTACGGTTGCATTTTCCAGTGCGGGCGGCGTGGTGCAGCTGCACGGATTTTATTGCAGATCCGCAGCGGCACCACCCGCACAGATGTGAACCTAGGGTAAGTCTTGTTTACCATTATCACTGTAATAGAGAGTGTGAAAAACCCCACAGATTTTGGGTTGTCGCCAGAAAAAGTAATGAAGGGGAAATTTTTCCAATGGAAACACTCATTTTGGTGACCTTGGGGGGGGGTCCCTAAGGAATTCTCTTAATTTGCAGATATTTTCTCACTTTCTGTTTTGGCTATAGGACAGGAAGTGAAGGGAAATCTCCCCAAAGGGACTCAGATGGCAAAAAATAAACTGACGGGTTGTAACTCTATCTTACTGTATCCAACATAAAAAAAAAAAAGTTTTGACTATAGTTCTACTCGTGCACACTGGACGTTTTGATAACGCTGGCAATGTTAGCTTTGTAAAGTCAGGTTTGGTCAAAAGAAAGTCCAAAAAACGCCGTTTTGCCACGTTTTTCGGTGTTAAGCGTTTTGTACAGCTAAAAAACTCCTCCAGAAACCCACTAGTCCTGGGTTTTATTTCCAGCCAAAAAACGTTGATTACAGTCTATGTGTGCATGGACACATAGGATAACATGCTGGGGAGTTTACTGGCTGTAGAAAAAAATGCCAAAAGCCAAAAACAGCCGCTGTAAAAACGTCCAGTGTGCATGAGGACTAAAGCACACACAGCACACAGTAAAACAGCATCCAGCACACAGTTAACCCTTTGATAGCCCCTTCCTGCCCAGTGTCATTAGTACAGTGTCAGTGCTTTTTTATTAGCACTGATGACTGTATTAGTGTCACTGGGGATGTTAGTGGCAGTTAGTCAGTCCCCCCCCCCCCCCCCCCCCCAGTGTCAGAATGCCCGCCGCAGTCCCGCTATAATTCGCTGATCGCCGCCATTACTAGTATAAAAAAAATAAATTCCAGTGTATATATAACGCCATTTGTAGATGCTATAAATTTCATGTAAACCAATTCATTTACACGTATTGGGATTTGCTTTTAGCAAAGACATGTTGCAGAATACAACATTTATGAACTTTGATTTTTTTGTTTACTGGATATGTTTTCTAGCAGAAAGTCAAAAATATTATTTTTTTTTTTCAAAATCTTGTCTTTTTTGTTTACAGTGCAAGAAATAAAAAACGCAGAGGTGATCAATACCAGTGAAAGAATGCTCTATTTGTATGGAAAAGGACATAAATTTCATTTATGTACAGCGTTGCATGACTGCGCAATTGTCAGTTAAAGTAACACAGCGCCATATTGCAAAAAAATGGCCTGGTCAGGAGGGGGGCAAATCCTCCACACGGCAAGTGGTTAAACAAGCTGACATTAGCAGCTGATTGGCTACCATGCACGGGTGCACCAGATTTTGCACTCTCCAGGTTTAGTAAATCCCCCCAACAGAGAAAGCCTGAACGCCTTCTTTCTTGCTGCAATCACTGCAGTCCCCAGCAGATGGCGGCAGGCACAAGGTCACACAATTTGCAGAAGTGTAAAGTCCGTCCTTTCCCACAATGCTCTCCGGCGTGTAGTGGGTGCAGACATGTCTCAGCGGAAGGTTCTGGAGCTCTTCTATGATGTGGTCTCCCCCTATTCCTGGTTTGGGTTTGAGGTGAGAGCCTGCAGGGAGAGGGACCAGGACAAGGCAGCTCTGCGGTCCTGCAGTTCTGTGTGGAATGAGAGCGGACCGCATAGTGACAGTATAGGGGGGAGGTTCTGCTCTTCTTACAATGTATTCTGTTACAGTGTGGGACATCACCTGTCATGCCCTTTAAAGTTGTCCTCTAACCTCCCCCCCTTTGCTGTGTTAGTTGGTATGACCCAGCACAGTAGTAAGCAGTGACCCTTCCCTCCTCCTTCCTGCACTGTACTCTGTGCCAGTCCAGGGGGGGCCTTTATGCTGGCAATACACAACCATTTTATATACAGAGGGCTTTTACAATCAATTTACTGACCGATTGGAATAATGGTTTGATGAACCATACAGTTAAAGTGGAAGTAAACTGCAGGAAAGGGGGGGGGGGGGGTCCCCTGCAAGGTCATGTCATAATGTGCTAGTATGTATCGCTAGTATGACGTTCCTTTACCCCTGGATCACATCTGTGCGGGTGGTGCTGCTGCTGATCCACACGAAAATCCGTGCAGCCGCACCACCCGCACAGAGAAATGCAGACCCGCGGGTGGGTGCCATTAGTTCTAATGGCACGCCGCCCACACTGGAAAACGCAACCGTACTGGGAACCGAGCTTCACGTGTGGGCTGCGGTTTCCAAAGAAGCGCAGGGACTTCTTCCCTACGTTGCACAGGAGTCCATTCAAATGAATGGGCTCTCGTGCCTGTGCTAAACGGGGGTTGGAGCGCATGTGCCAGCTTAAAAAAAAAAAAAAAAGTATCTCCTTAACCTTGCACGTTTAGGAGATATGCATTTTACCTACAAGTAAGTTTACCTGTAGATAAAATTAAAAAAAAAAAAAGTTTATTACCACTTTAATGATCAATCTGCTCTCCCACAATCAGAATTTTCATCCAGACTGCCTAGATCTGATCATATTGTGAAGAATCGTTCAATTAGATTGTGTGTATGGTCACCATTAGTGGCAAAATGGTTAGCACTTCCACCTGGCAGTACTAGGGTTGTTGGTTCAAATCCAAACCATGGCACCACCTGCCTGGAGTTTGCATGTTCTCCCTGTGCCTGCGTGGGTTTCCTCTGGGTACTCCAGTTTCCTCCCACACTCCAAAGAAATGGTGGTAGGTGAATTGGATCCTGTCTAAATTGGCCCTAGTGTGTGTGTATGTATGAATGTGAGATAGGGATCTTAGATTGTACGCCCCTTGAGGGTTAGGGACTGATGTGAATGTACAATATATATGTAAAGTGCTGCGTAACTTGATGGCACTATATAAGTACCTGAAATAATAATTAGGTTGTACAATCTGGTTGTGCGATCTCCTTTAGCATCACCATACACACTACAATCTGACCATACAATTGAATTTAGATTCCTCAGAACTGTGTGATCTGAGCACCTACCTAATCTAACCAATTATATATCCAAAACAGACATTGCAGTACATATGTAATGGTAGATCAACCAGATTTACTATCAGCTCTGTAGTGTATGAAGCTGCCTGATTGGACACAGACTGAATGGATTTTTTGGTCTTGTATTGTAGAATTTTGATACCTCTAAATGATTGTACAATCAGATTGTATAGTGTATGGCTAGCTTTAGTTTGCAGCCTGTTCTTTTTTTTCTATCCAATGACTGCTACCCTCTAATACTGGTCATACATTATACAATCTGATTATAAAATCTCCTTTAAGCTGGCCATACACTACACAGTCTGATTATACCATGTCTATACAACTTCTGTAAGATTTACCAAAACTATGTAATATGTGGACAGACCTAAATTTTAGTTTCTATCCAATCAGGCAAGCCCCTCATACTAGATCGATGATAGATCTATAGGGGATTGTGCAATCAGATTGTATAGTGTATGGCTAGCTATAGATTGCAGCCTGCTCTGTATTTTTTTGATCAATGACTGCTACCCACCCAATGCTGGTCACACACTCTGCAATCTGACTTTCTGATCCCTGTATCTCCTCTAGCCCTGGTTCACACTGATGCGGCTTTGTAATTCATTTCAGACCACTGTAAATTGCATGACATGGTAAATAAAATGTTTTCCTATGGAGGGCCTTCACATATATGCAGTCCACACACACTGCATCTTTAAAGAGGGTCATGTGTGCAGGGGAGTATCATTTTTTTTTTTTTTAAACTACTTGTCAAAAGGACTAAATTGGGGTCCAAATCTACTTGTCCTGATAAAATAAATGTTTCCCGGAATTGACAATATGAAGGGTTGATATTTACTAGCCACTGGACTGTTTTGTGCACCACAACACACACGATATGCAGTGTGCTGCGCTCTTCTGTTCAATGAGCTGGGTTGCCATTCACAATGTATGTTTAACCTCTGGGCTAAAAATAAAAATCTATAAATAATTGAAAAATCTACTCAAGTGAATCAATAACACCAAGCTGCCTCACCCCAAATGTGTAAATAATTATGTGTAAACTGAACCTCTCCAAAACCGAGTTTCTTGTCTTCCCCCCCCAGCCCGGACACCACCCCCTATTGACTTCTCCGTCACATCCAACAACGCCACCATCAAACCCGCCCCGCAGGCCAGAGTACTTGGTGTCATTCTAGACTCCAACCTATCCTTCCAGCCCCAAGTCCAATCACTAACAAACTCATGCAGACTCCACCTCCGCAACATCGCCAAAATCCGCACGTTCCTAACCCCAGAAACCACTAAACAGCTCATCCACTCCCTCATCATATCACGACTCGACTACTGCAACTCCCTCCTCACTGGCCTGCCTCGCCGCTGGCTATCCCCGCTTCAGTCGATCCTGAATACGGCTCCCAGACTCATTCAGCTTTCCAACCGCTCCGTTTCCGCCACCCCCCTCTGCCAATCCCTCCACTGGCTTCCGATTGCGCAACGGATCAAATTCAAAATCCTAACACTGACGTACAAAGCTGTCCACCATACTGCTCCGAACTACATCACCGACCTAATATCCAAGTACCGCCCAACATGCACACTCCGCTCCTCACAAGACCTCCTTCTCTCTAGTTCCCTGGTCTCCTCCTCCCATGCCCGCCTCCAGGACTTCTCCAGGGTGTCACCCATCCTCTGGAACTCCCTGCCCCAACCCATCAGATTATCACCTACTCTCCTCTCCTTTAGGCGCACCCTGAAAATCCATCTCTTCAGGGAAGCCTACCCCACGCCCTGCTAACCTGCCGACCTCCTCCACTCTTCCTACCACTCCATCCCCCACAGCTATCTCCTCCTGTGCCACTATCCCCTCCCTCCTAGATTGTAAGCTCGAAAGAGCAGGGCCTCAATCCCCTCATGTTTTGCATTGTATTGGTATTGTTCTGTCACATGTTCTGTCCCCCTTTGTAATGTACAGCGCTGAGCGAACTATTGGCGCTTTATAAATACTGTATAATAGTAATAATAATGTATAGCGGACAAAACCACCAAACATAAGCCCATCACTTATAAAATAAATACAAAATAGTACATACAATGTGTCAAATATAGAACAAATACTTTGCAGAATTGAAAACAACATACAGATGGTGTTTACATATCAGTCCTCCTAATATTTAAATCCATAAAGGCTCCACCCCGACGTACATTCCATGGAGACTGATCCCATTGACAGTGTCTGTTAGGATGGAAGGTACGGTGGGGTGGGGCCGATGCTGACGTCACCACGCTTTACTGGAACTGCGGTGTTTAATACTATATGTGCTTAATAGGAAGATTTTCTGCTAGTAGTTTTTTGGCTTGCGTTAATAAACTCTTTGATGGTACTACTTTATTGGAGGTCTATCTCTTTTATGTCAAGTTATTCATGGGGCATGAGATGGCAGTGGAATTTCCACGAGTGCATTTCTATATTGAACAATCCCATTCTAAATTCATGCAACTTCATGCCATGTCAGACCACCTATAACTTGGGGTCTGAAGATTCGGTAAGAGGCTGTGGGGATTATTTACTAAAGCTGGTTCACTCAGAATCTCGTGCGCTTCTGCATGGAAACCAATCAGCTTCCAGGTTTTATTTCAAAAGCTTAATTGAACAAGCTGAGGTCAGAAGCTGATTGGCTACCATTCACAGCTGCACCAGATTCTGAGTGGAACCAGCTTTAATAAATCTACCCCTGTATGTGTAGGTGGTGGATTCACTAATCACATTTCACCGGGTCTCACCTAAGATATCACGGACATCTGATTTCATGAATGATTCATTTTCTTTTTAACCATATGGACATATTTTTTTTTATGAACACTTGTTGTGGGGATTTATTGTCACTAAGGATGGTACTATTTGGGACCATTTATCTGTATTTACTCAGTGCAACAATAAATGGCTAATTTATATCCTGGAGATATATTCATATTCCACCACCACAAAAAAAAAAAATATCCACCTGAGATGCCTTCTACCCGTGAAAAAGTAAATACTCGATTCTGTAACATTTTGAAAAGCTATTTTTTGGGGGTTCGACAAAAATATGGAAACACTACATAATCTGCAGGTGTGAAAGTGACCTGTTTCGCATTAAAAGCAGAAGTGATGTAATCTTTTGCTTCCACTGTGTGATGAGACACCTAGCTAACAGGTGAGAAGCCTCACTTTTATCATTCACTGAGTGCGCTTCTAGTAATACGGAGTCATGTCTGAGCTTCAAAGAGAGCAAATTGTTGATGCCCCACTTAGCTGGTGCCTCTGTGACTGAAGTTGCCAATTTATTTGCCGTGTTACGAGATACAGTATCAAAGGTTATGACGGCATATACAGTTTCTGCTCAAATGTCTGCTAAGCAGAAGTGCAGTTAACTGACCAAAAGAGACACAGGATTTTGAACCAGATTAATGCTACGTTCACACCTGACTTTATTTCTAACTCCTATAGCATTTGACAGGCGTTTTTAACGCTCCCCAAATGCCCTATGTGCATTTTTTAGATGTTTGATAGGCGTTTGCAAAGTGTTAAAACCGCACCACAA